GGAAAGGAAGAAGAGATGTCAGGGGGGCACTGTTTGCTAGCCTGGCCAAAGGTCACTAGATCTCTTAATCTGGGAGGTCTTGGTATTTCTAATCTTCAAAACTTGGGATGGGCTTTAAAACTCCGATGGTTATGGCTGCAGAAAACAGAACCTGACAAAGCCTGGGTTTTTTCCCCATCCAAGCTCATTCTCAAGTCCAAGCATTCTTTGCTATGGCTGTTGACACAGTAGTAGGCAATGGAAAAAATACTTGTTTTTGGACAGATAGATGGTTGCTTGGTCAGAGCTTAGAACAGGCCATGCCACATTTGTTTAGCGCTATAGCAACCAGAGCAAGGAAAAGATCAGTTTACGATGCTATCACGGGGGGAAAATGGGTTTCTGATATAAGAGGTGCTTTAAGTGTGCCTGTTCTGATTGAATACCTTCACCTTTGGGGGCTTTTGTCAAATGTGGTACTGCATCCTAAGGTGGAAGATACACATATCTGGAAACTTTCAGCTTCCGGTATGTATTCTAATAAATCAGCTTATGAGGCCTTGTTCATTGGAGCTACTCATTTCAGTCCTTGGGAGTTGATCTGGAAGAGCTGGGCCCTAGGGAAGTGCAAGTTCTTCATGTGGACAGTAGCTCACAATAGATGTTGGACAGCTGACAGACTAGCACGTCGAGGTCTTGATCACCCAACGCAGTGTCCACTCTGTGATCAGGCTGGTGAAACAATAGACCACCTTCTGATCTCTTGTGTCTTCGCCCGGCAAACATGGTACAACATTCTGCAATCTTTTGGAGTGCAAGATGTGGCTCCACAAATGGTTGATTTGATTTTTGTGGACTGGTGGGAAGGTGCTTGCAATGAGGCTTTACGGTCAAGTGAAGAAGGGGTTCAATTCCATTATTATTTTGGGAGCTTGGTTAATTTGGAAGCATCGAAACCATTGTGTTTTTGATGGTGGAACTCCTAGCCTAGCTAGGGTCCTCTCAGCTTTTAAGGAAGAAGCTCAGCAGTGGGCAGCAGCAGGGGCTCGAGGAGTTTCTTATCTCCTTGCCCTGGCTCCTACCTCCTAGCTCTTTTTGGGTCCGGTGGTTTTTTGGTCCTGCCTTATAGTTCTCTAGAGACACAACGTAGTTTGGGTTCTTAGGGTGGGTTGCAGACCCTTTTCTCTATAGCAGTTTTTTGTTTCTGTGTTTTTGTAACAGTTTTTTGGGGCTCTTTTCCCCCTCCTTTTTCTTCTTAATATATTGATGCGCAGTTCTCCTGCGCGTTCGAGAGAATAAAAAAAGAGTGAGTTCTCTCTTGGTTTATTATTGTATTTAGGGAAATCTTAGGGCACTACAATAAAAGGCATAAGGCAAACTGCCCAAATGATAATTCTGTGGTTGGCTGTACAGATTTAAAGTACAAACTCTACTTTTTTTTTGTTACAAATTACTAATTACTTTTTCTTTGCACAGAGTTAAGTATAAGGGTGGAAACAGCAAAGGGACAAACACCTATAGCACATACCCATTATTTCCAAAAGGTAAATAGTAGAGGTGCAGAATCCAAATAGATAAAAATGGAAGGCCAAGCAATGACGTTAAAATAGTGGCTACCATACAGACTAAAATTAAGTTTTGAATAGGTGAGTTTACCTTGGTGGCCGCCTCTTCAGGCACTCCTCCACCTGGGAGAGAGAAGGCTTGATTAAAGACAGCCTGGCTGCCAGCGCCACCTCAAATGGGACAGTCCCTGTCATGGCCCTGAGAACATTAAGCCAAGGTCAGTTCTTCCCTGAAAAATCAACAGTCCAGATGAATCAATCTACAGAATGGAGAATTTACTTTGCTGTCCATTCAGCAACAGCTTTCCCTGCCCCACAGAAATCAGCAAGCTCGTCAATGCCCTCATCCAGAATGACCGTGCTATCAACATCGAAACATACCGCATCAGCATTGCGCAATGTCTCAATAGCCCCTGTAAACATGCAGGCAAGCAATAAGCAAGTTACTCCCAAGTCATTCAGTGTAGTTAAGCACTCTGGCATGGACGCTGGTCAGCCGCATGGTAGACTATCCTAATTAAACATCGCTTGGAAGGCTTCCAATCCAAATAAGAAAAAATGAAGAACCTTTGGAAGGCAGGGTATTGGCCAGAACCGCGGAGGACCCGTCCTTAGAGACCTCCAGTGCTGCTGCCAGTAGATTACGGCTCTTAGAAAGTTTGGCACAAAGAAACAGTGGGCTTGTCAAACGAACTGGCACTTGTGGTGGCTGAGAGGACGACGGCCGAGGAAGTGACGGCGAACTCCTCGGACCAGCACGCAAGCTGATCAGGCCGCCATACCATGCGCACCTGCAAATCAGACAAGGCGACCTGAAGTTGGAATGACAGCAGGATAGGTTGCGTCCTGATTCCTGGAAGCTCTGACTGGCACAAAGCATCGAACACCTCACGCGCGTGCGTGGTAACCAAAGGTCCCAACAAACCGAGTGGAGATCTCCCCGCTTGAACAGTGAAAATCCACAGGGGAATGATCCGGAGAGTGAAATCAGGACGAAGAACGGATCACGAACTCACCTGCGCCAGGAGATTTGATGCGAAGTGAGGAACGCGCGCCGCCGATGTTCCTTGCTCGTTGAAATCCCAGACCAGCTGCTGCGGGTGGCAACTGCCTACTCTGTCGAGTAAAATGCACCAGCAGCCCCGACAGGGCCCAAACTCTCAAAGTGCATTTCTAGGTCTTAAACGCCGGGTGTGTTACGTAGGTTCTTAAATTTGGTATGGGGTATTATTTAAGACCATAAACTTTCAAAATGCACATCTTCATCATTTAATTTGGATTTGGCAGAGTGCATCATCTAGGTTCTCTAAACATAAAAATAAATAAATAATTTAGGCTTAGGGTATATATTTATATTTATATTTATATAAAAACTAACCTTTAAAGTATAAAAATAAATAAAATTTTGCACCGCCTGGTTCGAATCGAACCCAGGGCTCGGGGTCCAGTGTCTTATGCTTTAACCGCTGCGCTACTATAGGGAATTCATTAAAGATTGTTTTATTTATTATTTTAACCTTTTAGGGCAATATATACTTTAAAATAATTAGTTATATAAATATAAATATATTTTAAAACTTAAGATATTTTGATTCTTCAAGAAAGTTGGAATGACTTATAATTTGAAATGGAGAGTATATTTTAAAGGGTTCGAACCGGGAGAGACAAAATTTTTATTTATTTTTATACTTATTAGGTTAGTTTTTATATAAATGTAAATATATACTTTAAAATAATTAAAGTTAGTTTTATCGGTTAGTTTTAAAGGTTAGTTTTATATAAATATAAATATAAATATATACTTTAAAATAATTAAAGTTAGTTTTTATGTAAAGTTAGCTTTTATATAAATATATACTTTAAAATACATACTTTAAAATAATTAAAGTTAGTTTTATATAAATATAAATATAAACTTTAAAATTAGTTTTAAAGGTTAGTTTTATATAAATATAAATATATACCCTAAACCCTAAATTATTTATTTATTTTTATGTTTAGGGACCTAGATGACTCACTCTCTGTCAAGTTTAGGGATCTAGATGACATGATCTGTCAAGTTAAATGACCTAGATGTGCATTTTGGAGTTTAGGGACCTAGATGACACCCCTCGCCAAGTTTGGGACCGCAGATGACACTCTGTCGAGTTTAAGGATTTAGATATGATTTTGATAGTTTGAGGGCGCAGATGACACCACATGCCAAGTTTAGGGGTCGCTTGTGCATTTGACTCCAACTTTGTGCCATCAGTTGTTGCCCAGGGCCCACCCACCTACCCGCGGTGGGTCCTAGAGAACAGTCTCTCAACTCACCAAGTGGGTCCTAGAGGACAGATGTGGGCCCACAACACTCTCTCTGGAATTATTTGTAGCATCCTCCTCTCAATTCCGTGCCGGCGCCGGCAGTGGCAATGACGGCGCGAGGGGGAAGGAGGCGGCGGCGGCGGCGGCCGGCGGGAGTCCACCGCCGCGCGCAGCCACAGGGGTGGGCAAGCGGGTGGGCATCCATTGCAATACACCCCCCGCCCCCCGCGTCCCAGCCCGACAACCAGACGCGGGTGAGACTTTTCTTACTTCGCCTGCGCCTATCTCGCGCCGCCACGCAGCGGTACCGAGGATTTGGTCAGCATGGGTTCCGAGCGCCATTCTCCTCTCCGCGAATTGACTCCGGATCCCTTGGTTTGCCCTCTGCGCGGCGCTGAGCAAGGCATTCTCCTCTCCACGACTTGACTCCAGATCCCTGCGCTGAGCAAGGTGGTGGTGGTGGAGGTTTCCCTCGTCGCCATCTCGCCAAGTCTGCGGTACTGCTGGTCAGGTCGCGGCTAGGGAAGAGAACGGAACGTCGCCAAGAGGTTGCCTACGCGAAGGCCTGGGTAATTCGTTTTCGCCATTCTCGATTGCTAATTGGGATATACAATCTTTTGAGGCGTGAAGGTGTGGGTAGCAGTGTTATCTCTCTTTTGTGTTGAACCTGAGATTTTCCTTGTTCGGATGTAACCCATCCTCTGCTGTAACTGATCTTTGATCTTCAATGATAAGACTGGGGCGGTGCCCTTTTACTCTAAAAAAAATAGCCTGATTTGGAGAAATTTGGGGTCTTGTGGTATTCAGACTTGTGAATTTACATTGCAGGAGCCAGGAATCATCGAGGCAACATCCTGACAGTTCAGCCAAGTGCACTCTGTTGCCTGATGTGCGCGCTTTCATAAGCTCCTCGTTTGTCTCCAAGCTGGCACACACCTGAAATTACTGGCAGCTTTAGCCAAGTGCTACTTGATTGGCAGCTCAATTGTTGGTTCATGTAACAGTAGACAACATGCTGACAGTTCACTGAAGCTGTATTTCACTATTGCCGATGGCATAGTTTGTTTGGATGCCTGAGATATCTGAAAGTAATTGCAGCACGGAGCAAGTTCACGGAGCAACAGTTGAATCTTTGCAATAACACAGTGAGAGATGGATGGGTTCATGGCGAGTGCAGCGACGGGGGTGATGAGCTCCCTTCTCGCCAAGCTCGGCGAGCTGCTCGGGGAGGACTACAAGATGCAGAGGGGCATGAGGCGCGAGATCGCGTTCCTCAAGGATGAGCTGAGCAGCATGAATGCACTGCTTGAGAGGCTAGCTGACTCGGAGACGCTTGATCCGCAGACGAAGGAGTGGAGGGATCAGGTGAGGGAGATGAGCTACGACATTGAGGATTGCATCGATGATTACATGCGCCAGCTGCAGAATGAGCCACAGAGGCATAGTGGGATCACTGGATTCTTCTTCGGGTATGTCCAGAAAGTGAAGGATCTTGTTACCTGCCATGAGATTGCCGAGCAGAATCAGGAGCTCAAGGCTCCAATTGTTGAGGCGGGCCACAGAAGGAAGAGGTACAAGATTGATGAAACAGTTAATTTTGGTGGCGTCAATGTGATCCCTGTGGACCGTCGGTTGCCAGCTCTCTATGCAGAATTGGGTGGCCTTGTTGGTATCAATGCTCCTAGAGATGAGGTCATCAAGCTAGTTGACGATGGGGCGCAGGGGGTCAAGGTGGTGTCTATTGTGGGTTGTGGAGGATTAGGAAAGACTACAGTTGCAAATCAAGTTTACAAAAATATTGCTAAGAAATTTGATTGCCAAGCTTTTGTGTCCTTGTCCCAAAATCCTGATATGGTGATCATCTTTCGGTCCACACTGTCTCAAGTCAAGAAGGATGAGTGCCATAGCACCAGCTCATGTGACAAGGAACTTCTCATTAGTGAATTGAGGGATTTCCTAAAGGACAAGAGGTATCTTAAATTTATCTACACTAGCTTGGAATACTGTTTAACCTTGTTTGTTTAAGGAAATTCTCTTTATATTTTTTTCTGTTAGTTAATGTTTTTATTATTTATACGTGCATTGAGGCATTGTTTCAAGTCACAACCTTTTAGAAATTACCTTTTGTTATTATGTCACAAACTGAATATTCATCCATACATCAAACTGTTTAGATTCTCCTGAAATCAATACTCGTCTTAACAGGAATTCAAAGACAATAAACACTAGAAATTAACTTCTCCATAACATATTACATTAGGACTCTTAAAGTTAAAGGTGAGATATGAGGTTTTTTCTCGCACTTTCCACAATATAGTGTGCATATATCAATCTACAGGTTTCAACTGAATCATAGTTCTATTTCATATTTAGGTATTTTATTATAATTGATGACATATGGAGCACCCAAGCATGGAAGACAATTAAATTTTCTTTGGTTGAGAATGCTTGTGGCAGTAGAATAATAGTGACAACAAGAATTGGTACTATTGCCAGATCTTGTTCATCTCCATTCCATGATCTCGTATTCGAATTAAGGATGCTAAGTGCAGATGACTCCAAAAGGCTATTCTTTAGAAGAATTTTTGGCTCTGAGGACAAGTGCCCTCACCAGCTCAAAGAGGTTTCAGTCGAAATAATTAAGAAGTGTGGTCGTTTACCATTGGCAATCATTACTATGGCTAGTTTGTTGACTACTAAATCATATACCAGAGCTGACTGGTTGAAGGTTTGTAATTCAATTGGTTGGGGGCTTGAGAAAAATTGTGATGTGGAGGAAATGAACATGATATTATCTCTATGAGTTATAATCACCTTCCTCATCATTTAAAGACTTGTTTATTGTATCTAAGTATGTTTCCAGAAGATTATGTGATCGAGAGGGATTATTTGGTAAGAATGTGGATAGCAGAAGGATTCATTAGTGCACATGGTAGAAGAAATTTGGAGGATGAAGGTGAATTCTATTTTAATGAACTTATCAACAGAAGCTTAATGCAACGGTAGATTTCAGTATGATGGTAGAGTATACGCATGCCAACTTCATGATATGATTCTTGATCTCATTACATGTAAGGCAGTTGAAGAAAATTTCGTAACTGTTGTTACTAATAGAAAACAAATGTTGCCCTCACATGGCAAGGTCCACCGACTCTCACTTGAATGCCATGATCTTGAAAATTTAAAAGCAAATCCCATTGTTACTACTCATGTTCGGTCCCTGCACATATTTAGATACTCTGAAGGAATGCTTCCTCTTTCAGGCTTTCGGTCCCTAAGAGTGCTTGATCTAGATGGTAATGAGAATTTGGAAAGCTGTTATCTGGAAGATATAGGGAAGTTATTTCAGTTGCGATACCTACGGATTAAGTCAAGCAATATTACACTTCCAGAAAGGATAGGAGAGCTTCAGTGTTTGGTGATACTGGATCTTCTGAATTGTCTTAATCTAGGTGAATTGCCTACAAGTATTGTTGAACTTCGGCACTTGAAATGGTTAATTGTTCCTCGAATGAACTTGCCAGATGGAGTTGGGAACATGCAAGTGCTAGAGTTTCTTTCACTTATAGTTGTTGACTACACTACCTCAACATCCCTATTGCAAGAGCTGGGCAGCTTGACCAAATTGAGAACTCTTGAGTTGGATTGGCGCATCAATCCCCTGCACAGGGATAAAAAAACATACGAGGACAATTTTGTTTCTTCACTTGGCCAACTAGGCAGTTCAAACCTTCGCTGTTTAACACTCATCAGTCCATGGTCACTAGACTTCTTGTTGGAACCTTGGTCCCCAACTCCACATCTCCTTCAGAAGTTAGTGATCAAAGGATGGCATCTCAGCAACAAACCTCTCCTACAAGGTTTGTAATTCCAGTTTGGATGTCCTCGCTAACCAACCTCACCTACCTAGACATTGAGGTTAAAGTTAGACAGGAAACTCCTCAGATCCTTGGAGATTTCCCTGCCTTACAATTCCTGAAGTTGTGCTCAAATGCAGCAGGATCTGAGGTAAGGTGCCTTGTTGTCAGCAACAACGGATTCCGATGTTTGAAGAAGTTCAGGTTTGTTGGTTGGGTAAATATGATGTTCAAAGAAGGAGCTGTTCCAGTGCTTGAAACTCTTGAATTTCAAATCATAGTGCATGAGGTGCAGACTGCATGCAGGTTTGGTCCTCCAGATTTTGGCATCAGCCACCTCTCCACCCTAAGGAATCTTGTTGTCAATGTTCACTGTCAGGGTTCCAGAGTTAAAGAGGAGGAGGCACTGGAGGCTGCTATCCGGAGTGCAGCCAGTATGCTTCCTAATCATCCTACACCAGCTTTGCACAGATTTCTTGAGTCAGAACTCGTAAAAGAATGACACAGTAATGGAGAAGCAGAGCCATGAGGAGGACAAGAAGCAGCTAATAAGCCTTGCCTTTAGGCCTGCATCTACAAATCGTATATGGATATGTCCGAACTATTTATCAGTGCTTTATTTTCTTTATTTATATTGATTTAACTGTGTAAGAACACATGTGCAAGATTTAGATAGTTTAACTGGTTGAATAATTACCCATCCTAGCTCTGGAACATGTACTAGTTACAATAAAGCCACTTGACCAAGGCTCCAACCAAATCTTCCCTAACAAAAATTTTCTTTCTTTTATATCTTCAAATGTTGCATTGAATGAATCACGAAATATTAAGTAGGGATGTGGTTTCCTTTGGCCAATATATATAGCAGATGCAAATGGGGAAATGGAAGAAGAGCTGTGACCCGAGCTGATGAGGGAATTATGGGTGCAGTACGTATGCGGCTATTGTTGTGTGCTCTTTCCAAAGAATGCAGTGTTCACTTGATCAGATCAGTATCTTGTGTTAGTCTTGTGAGGCATCAGGATTAGAGATGCGAGCAAATGGTAAGGAGTGACTAGTATGAAAAAGTATGACTTCTCGAGTAGTATGATAGGATGGTAAGACAAATGGTAAGGAGCCTCTGCTTATCCCCAGCATTGTGGCTTGTCTCAATGTTTTTGGGTTGAACTGGTTTGTACGTACAACTCCACTGCTGGTTACCTATGATTTATTTCCATGGTGGAAATAAAAACAAGGTCTGGTACAGCAGAAGCAAGGTTGGGCGACCGAGAGGTTGAGCTTTTGCCAGATGTTGTGCACTCATTGATGGGAAGCGCTTGACAGAGCAATTTTAGTTTTGCAAGGCAGGGCATTGGCAGGGCGCGTGTGTGCGGACGAAGTGGGTCGGCACAGCTGCAGCCCGTGCATAACAGCACCTAAGTAGTGTTTGCGAATTTACGAGTTCATTGATGGTCAAACGCTGTTCCGGTGCGAATTTGCTGTTTACTTACTTACAGTAATACTTGAAACAAATGGTAAAAATGCATTGGGCCCTGAAAAGTTATAGGAGAAAACCATAAAATTGTGAACTATTAAAAAGGATTAGGTGGACACATAGAAAAGCAATTTCATTCTTTCATCAGAACGAGAGTAACTAAAATATACCTGCCCATCAACCCGTGCTCCATCATGGTATAGATATATAGATTGTTATGTTGCATAAATTATCACGTGGATAAATTTAGTACATACAACAAATCAAAACTGATCATATTTACTGTTTTTTACTTGAACACGATACCCATTTAAATATCCTATAATCTCTATTTGGTGTGATAACTTTGGCAATTACTCCCTTCATTCTCTTTTTTATTAGGCAAAGGCTGATTTCTCATTTTTGAAGGTATATTAGGTGTGGGGGGTACATAATAAGGCAGAAGTCGAAAAGCAAACATCAGCACTTACTCAATGGCAGCACGAAGCGTTTTTCGTGCTATGAGCAGACGGGACGCGTGCTTGGTTGGTGTTTTCCTAAAAAAAAAAAAAAAACCGGGGTACCAAACGTTACTTGTATGCATATATGGATGGATAAAGCACAGTGCTAAGTGCTTCGTTAATGCTCCACCTCTCTATCAGAAATTTCTTGTATCCCAAAAAAAAGAGATTGGAGGAGCAATCCATATGTATTTCTTTTTTTAAATATGTATTTAATTAGATCTTAACTAAAGTGAAATCATCTCTTGTTGACTTGTTCCTAGCAGTTCTGTGACGTCATGAATCTATATTTTGGCTAGTATCTTCAAATGTTTGTTAGAACTTGAACGTTATATCGTCAAATGCTCGTTTGGAAAGAAAATGAAGGAAGTAGTACTAATATCTATTCACAACCAAAATTTTAGACTTCTCCTAGTCACGTGGGTTTATAGTGGTTTAGCATTCAAAATTTAGTATAAACTTTTTTCCTACCAAATGCCTCCTAGTTCCGTATGCTATGATTAGTGGTAGTGTTTTATTATTATTTAAAAACACTAGGAGAATTCCACCGTAGTTATTGGATCCACAGCGGTGGATAGGAGGTGGTTTCCTTTGACCAATATATATAGCCGATGCAAATGGAGACGTAGAACATGAGCCGTGACCCAAGCTGAGAGAAAGGTGAACAAAGCGAACTATGGGTGCAATAAGTATGTGGTCAATATTGTCTGCTCTTTCCCAAGAATGGAGTCGTCACTTGGTTAGAGTAGCCTGTGTTAGCTAGGCTTGTGAGGCATTGGGATCACACATGCGACCATAGGGTACAGTACATGAAAAAAAGAAATCTGGGCACAACTGGCACAACATGGTCGGGTGGTACACATGTGATAGTTTTCTAATTAATAATAAACTCTTTCTTTCGTGTAATGCTACGTACTCCATTTACTTACTCGGAGGTGTTATCTCAAACAAATCCGGGTCATTGATTTTCAAGATTTTTTAAATTAATTCATTAAGTAACCTAAAGAAAGAGAAAAATGAATTATTATTCAATCCCCTCGTGACAAAGTGGGCGTGCGGCCCTTGTTCGTGTGATTAACATGAAAAATGCTTGCCCGGGAAACAAATAATGTGAATTGCATAAAAAAGATTAGCCGTTTATGTGAGTTATGTCCAAACTTGCAAAATTAAAAAATCTACCACATCTATTAGATCACATATGTATCAATTAGATCTATTTTTTTATATCTACAACTTTCCTTATTTCTCATATTTTACAATTTTAAATAGTAAATAAATATATATTTCAACCATTACCTTTTAAGATGTAATAGATGATCATAACCACCCGATCTAATTAAATGAGCAGGCTCAAAGTTATTTGGGAGTACCATAACAAAGTCTTTTTTTTTATCAAACCAATTTTCATCTCCATGGATGAACGTGAGCTTTCAATCCCCTCTAATTAATTTTATCTTTACATGCAAGGTGTCCAATCATCCTCCAGTAAATACCCCACTAACTTTCATTTCATTTAATGCTATATACCCATTGTTCACATCACTCTGTTATTTTATTTTCTATCAATCAACACATAAGTCCTCAACATATGCTATTTGTTTCATCACCTTATCCTTCTGTAACGTGACCTACTCCCTCTGTTTCAGAACATAGCTTTGGTTAGGATTTCAGACAGACTAAGGATGTAAAAGGAATAGTCAAATATGACCTTCCATGATACTGTGCATATCAATAGAAAGTAATATCTCTTGTGTGATTAGCCGATGACCTGCTTGTGCTATTAGCATGGAACCTGCCATATAATGTACATGTGTTCACAGGTAATTTTGACCATTCATATCCTTTCTATCCTACGTGAGAACTCAAATGATGCTATATTCTGGCACAAAACACAAACGCTAAACAAAGCTACATTCTAGAACGGAGGAAGTAATATTGAATTGCCGTTTTTTATTGGATTCCTTCATTAGCTTTCTTTTTTTTTTTTTACGGAGCTCATATGATATAACATACTAGTCTAGAACATGCATATATAACAAATTTATTTTTAAGAAAGTACCATTGCAACACATGGGGTATCTTCTAGTATGTATTTGTTTGAAATATTAATTTATCATCTCTTGTTGTATGCCATTTTTGTGACACCATAAATCTATATATTGGGAAAAAAGTCTACTTATCTACTTTACCACCTCACCTATAAAACAAGATATTCTGCCCCGAGTCCTCGAATGGTCTTGTAGGGTTGTTTGGATACCGTACCCTACCACACTGCACTACTACAGAACTGACCTTCACTGTCGACCCATCACTGTCGGTTGCTTATGAATTGACAGTGAGTGTTTACCGGACCATCACTGCCAGTTCGTGGCTTGAACCGGCACTGTTGGTTCAAGCCAAGAACTGCCAGTTCCTATTACTGCCAGTTCTTGCATGACCCGACAGTGATAGACCGCAGGAAAAACATCATAATTTTCTCATATGATGTCTAATGAAGACGAATGTTATACCAAAATTATTGTACTTGACAAGATCAACTTTGTACTTCAAACTTTTTTTTTATTTGAGATCATTTGGATGTCTAAATATGCACCACAAGATTTTGTAGAGTTAATACCAAGAATCCATATGATCTATAGTCACAAGTGAGTTGTCCAACTTTGTAGTGCAGTGGTAGGTAATGATCTCAGATGGGAGAAATGACCAAAAAAAGATGTAGATCTAAAAAATTATGCAACTCTGTAGTTGACAACTTTTTCATTTGAAATCAACTATCCAACAAAATTACATTTGGATTTCACACATTTGAAAATCGAATTTTTGAATTACCTCGAGATGAAGAAACAACCAAAAGAAAAGTTGTAGAGCTCAAAAAGTTGTACACTCTGTAGTTGTCAACCTTTTCTTTTGAAATCATCTATCTAAGGGAAATTACATTTGAATTTCCTCACATTTGAAATTCAAATTGTTGAAATGACCTCGGATGGAGAAATGACCAAAACAAAACTTTGTAGTCGACAACTTTTTATTTAAATCCAGTTTAAGGTCTCAAATACTCATTTCAAAACTAGATGACATAAAATAGGGTGGACAAATTAATATCCCAAATGGACATAAGTGTCTTATGGGTGGAGTGGTTAGGGGACGAACGCACGAAGCCTAAGGTCATGGGTTTGAGTGTCGGCGGCCATGAAATGCGTGTTTTTCGCACGAAAAATCGCATGCCCTGTGACTGCCTAGCGGGGTCTCCTGGTATTGAAAAAATACTTTTTGCTATTTTTTCAACCCAAATTTGGTTTTCTAGAAAACCACCATTGCAGGTTCGAGAACCGGCATTGGCGAGCCCCATCATCACTGCCATTTTGTACTGCCGGTTCAAAATACCAAAAGTGATAGGGTTTTTGAATCGGCAGTGAAGGACTGTGCTGGGTAGTGTAGCCTAAGCACACAAACCACGGCCTAATGAGCACCACCCTGTCTCCGCCTCCAACTCATGACACTCTTCGATGACATTGAGCTCATGTATTG